AAAAAAAAAAAGAAAAACCTGCTAATCGCCTGAACCCCTGCATTCGTCATTGTCCTCCGACGAGAGCTTTGTGGCCGACGTCCCTTCTTCGAGCCGCCGCTCATCACCGGAGTTCATAGCAGCGGCAATCGTTTGCCATTCTTTCCGGTGTCTTTTCCGGCAAAAAGCTCCATCTCCGGCAGCCCTGTTCGTCAACGTCCGCCTCAGACAGGTCGGGTCCATAATCGAGATCGGTTCCGGTGCACGAGTAGCGGTTCAGCAAGCTTTTCAAACTCTGAAGCCCGAGTCCCGTCCGAGTGTTCGAAGTCCGTTCGTCTGTCCCGTCGTTTGGCTCGTTTTCCGTTCTATAGCTCGTAGTTTCCCGAAGTCGGGTAACTTATTCTAATCCTCTCGTTCTTACGGTCGTTTTGATATATTACATGTTATATATATATCACGTGTTCGGTTTACCGAAAGTTGATTTGAATTCGGAATTGTTTTTGGTTCATTTAATTGTTTATATGTATATTTCGTTATATGTGGATTTTCGGAAGTAATTGGAACTCTCGATTTTATAAACGTGTATACCGTTTTATTGCTGTGTTAAATGTGCATAAGTTCGGAGTCTCGTTTTGTTGTTTCGAGTCGTCGTTAGGATGTTCGGGTCATTCGAACCCCTGGTCGTCCTTTTTGTTTTTATATTTGGTTATTCCGTTTTCGAGCCAAAATTGTTGTTAAAAATATATTTCGGAACTTTGAAAATATGTTATTGTTTGTAACCTCTCAAATCCAGTTGTCGTTAGATGTGTCGTCGTCAAATTTGGTCGTAAAATTTCAGCCCCAGTAGCTCTATCAGTTTCTGTTATTTTTCAGTCCCAGGCTCTGTACTTTTGTTTTCAGTCGCAGGCCTCGTTTTTGTTTCATAACCATTTCAGTTCATTCAAGTAAGCAAATTAGGGCGTGGCTCAGTGGTTAACGTTGTGCTTGTTTGTGTTTGGTGTCATGGGTTCAAATCCTTGCTTTAGCAAACCTTGCCTTTTTTTTTATTTATTCAGTTGAACAGCCAGCGCGGGCTTTACGCCCGCAATCAGCCCGCGACCCGGCCCGATCTCTCCCTCAGCCTCCTCAGCCCGCAAGCCCAGTCCCGGCCCACGGCCTGTAACCTACTTTGAGCAGCCCAATTGCGCGTGTACGGCCCAAATGTTTGGCTTCCTTGGGCCAGCGTTTGGGCAGAGGCCCAATCCCCTATTTTTAAGCCAATTTTTGTGTTTCGGAGCTCTTTTTCGTACCGATTTAAATTTTAAAAATATCTTTAAAAATAATAGAATTTTGGA